CTGGGGAATTCTGGGCATTGAAGTCCACACAGCTTCAAGCGGCCAAGGTTGAGAAACCTTCCTCTAGCATCACAACAAGGATGACATTCTGGTCTCATTATTGCTTTACTATTAAGTATTTGTAGATGAAAGTGCAAAGGAATGTGGTCAGTGGAAAAATAATAAATCATACAGACTGCAAGTTTTAATTGCAAATGAGATCAGGATGAAATTCTTTGAGGTTTTCTCTTCAGAATGATCAGCACCTCCTGACCGGTTTCAGTATGTTTTAAAAAAACTAGTATTATTCTAAATGAATTGCAAAAAGAAGGTGGAACACTTAGAGCTTGGACTGAATTTGAAGATCTTATTATACAAACCTCAGAGTGCTTGCTTGGCATTATTTATATTTCATTTGCCAGTGAAATATGACTCAGAAACCAAGCAAGTTAAAGATTGTCTGATTAAGTGGAAGTAGAATTTAGACAGAACAGTTGATATGCAACCATTTCAAGGGAAGGAAAATATTAGATTTACACAAATATCAGACTTAGAGAAAAGTGGGATAAGACGTTTACCAATGCTCTGTAACTCCAGTCCTGATTGCTAAATTGATCATTCCTTTTCTAAAATCTCTTGGAAATGTAACAATCAGGTTGGATCATTCTTCTCTCTCTGATGGCAATGTTGTGTAGCCCAGTAATTTTGTAAAATGATTTCTAATATAATGAAACAAGTTTTTAAAGTTGAATTACTTCTCCAACCTGCCATCTTTCTATTAAATATGACTAAACATTGTACTCCTACAAAGCGTACCAAACTAGCTTTGTACATGTTAACAGCTGGTATGATACTCCATGTCTTTGCATGGGAAATTATGTATAATTCCTTCAACAGAAGAATGGCAAAATAAGTTCTGGGAGTATGCCATGATGTCTAAAATAACCTCGTATTTGAAAAATAAATCTGGCATAGAATTTAATTTAACATGGAAACCATTTTTGGACTGTAATTCTCCCTCTGGGCTTGTACCACTGAAATTTGAGTTTCTCTTAACATAATAGTTTTAACATTTATATCAAGGGCGATTTGTTAAATAAGGATAGATTTTTGATTGACTAGATAAGACTGCAATTTTTCACTTTCACTTATGTTTTATCCCGTGCTGATTACTGTCATTGATACTCATACATGCTCTTGAGTTTAATAATGATTGGTCGTTTTCAGATGACATGAGGAACTTCAACAGAACGAAATTCATATCCTGAGAATCTGTACTTAAAATCTTTACAATGCTTGTAAATCTCTTGTCAGCTTACTTTGTGCTTTTTGGGTTTCAAAGAAGGGAGCAGGCCTTAAAATGAGTTTATTAACCCAGTGTTTCTCAACCTCAGCAACTTTAAGAAGTGTGGACTTCAATTCCCAGAATTCTGGTTGGGGAATTCTGGGAATTGAAGTCCACACTTCTTAAAGTTGCTGAGGTTGAGTAATACTGCATTAGCCCATTAGCCCATGCAAGCTTCCTAAAGTTTCTTTACCACCTGATGCCCTCAGATGTATTCAACCCTCGTTTCCATAATTCCCAGATGTAGAGGGAACTAGGTTGGGGAACACATCTCTGATTTCAGGAAGAAGAAGGCATTTCCCAGCTCTCAATCTGGGGTTGGTCTATGTGGTACTGTGAGAAAATAAGTAGAGATCTTTGGGGGGCTCTTGCGGACCCCCCCCCGTAATCCTGCTCATGTAAGCGTGACCTGAACATTGGTATTCTTGATGTTGTCGTGACCTGAACATTAGTATTCTTGATGTTGGTGAGTCTTTCTGGAGGCCCCATCCATTGTGCTATGGGCAGAGCTCGATGCCATGGGGAGGTGAGATTCTGTTGAGCTTCCATAACATCTCACTGTCCCCTCTTGGCTTCTCTGTTGTGGTTGGTAAACAATTGCCTGACTGCCTGTCCTTTTTCGTTCAGGTGTCTCCAACTGACAAGCTGGATGCCACCTCTGAAGCTGAGCAGAAACCCTCTGAAGAGGATTCAGGAGATGAGCAGATGCTGAGCAGTGAGAAAGAAGAGGAGCAGATTTTTCTGGTCAACCTCTACAAATTCATGAAAGAGCGCCACACGCCAATTGAGAGGGTGCCTCATCTTGGCTTCAAGCAAAGTATGTCCTTGGCTGCCTTTTCCAAAAGTGTGTGTGTGTGTGTATCCATGGGTCCTCTCTCATATATCTTCTGCTTTCCTCAGGCAACCTGTTGTATCGCACAAACTCAATGTGTCTGTCACTGCATTTGCACAACACACCTTACTCTAAACCTAGGTTAACAAAGCTCTGTTGGGTTTGCAAAGCCCATAAACCACATGGTGGGTTCTTGAGACTTTCTTGAGGTGCACAGCATCCTAAGACGTATCTGGATTCCCACAATACAATGGACCCTAAACGGTCAACCCCGTACAACCTAGTTTAGTGTGTCATGGGAACACAACCCATGTGTATAACATCTATGAGCATGGAGGTGAAAACTAATGATCAAGGACACCTATTGCTGGAATTCCTGGCTCACAGGAAGCCTTCCTCCTATTTAATTGGCCCATTTTGAATGATCTGATCATATTCGGCCCTTCAGAACTCACCCATCTCCCCTCCCCTTTTGAAAGCTGAGCTGACATGTGTCTAAGCACCCATTCCTGCTAGGAAAACAGCACTCCACTTCCCTGGACTCATACATTCACATGAGAAAGCTTTTCCTGACCTGTTTTGTTAGGGGAGGTGTGAAGCTAGTTCTACTGTAGGAGATGGAGAAGATGTCTGCCTGTCTATCTACCAACCAACCAGAAAGGAATATCTATCTATCTATCTATCTATCTATCTATCTATCTATCTATCTATCTATC